TTCCTCCAAAAGGCAACCCACCTTCTACAAATACACCAACATCCTCGCGTCAAGATCCCCGCAACTCTTGATCTACCAACTTCCATCTTCTTCGCAGGCCCAAATAACCCGGTGCAGCTTACCGGACTGCAATTTCCAAATGGCAGAATTCGGCCTAGGTCCTTCAACTGACTTCCAAGAACATTGGAAATATCGGTTTCTAATGGATGCCGACGGGGCCGGGTTCAGCGGTCGTTTCCTTCCCTTCTTGCAAAGTAGGGCCCTCCCATTTCGCACGGGACTGTTTCGCCAATGGCTAGATAGCCGACTTACAGTTTGGTACCATTTTGTGCCTATCGATATTAGGCTGCATGGGTTGTGGAGCACCCTGGCATACTTCTCTGGAGCGAGGCAGGTTGGGGATTCCGCCACTCCTTGGCCGAGTCCAAATACGAATAAGGACAGTAGGAAAAATGGTGATGGCCAAGCCAAGAAACATGGAGACGCGAAACAAAAGCCACCCAGCAGGATGATGATGATGATGATGATGATGATGGGGAAGAAGAAGAGGAACAATAAAAATGAAATACCCAATAGTAGCGATACTATAGCAGACAGCAACAGTAACACTAACCAGAAGATCCTGATGGAACCGCATACACGCGAAGGAGAGTTTATAGCCGAAGAGGGTCGGAAGTGGGCTGAGAAGGCGCTTCGAAAGGAAGATATGGAGATTTACATGTTTCGGTTGCTCCTGGAGTGGGCTCGCTTGACAGATGACAAGAGGGATCGGTTGGGATTTCAGGTAGGATGATGACGACGACGACGATGATGATGATGATGCTGTTGCTGCTGCTGCTGCTGCTGGTGATGGTGATGGCGTTCAAGCAGCTGGCATTTATATATAGACTTCTTTTTTCTTTTGTATGCTAACCTATCCTTACTATTTTCGTTGGGGGAATGGGGAGGCAGTGGATTGCGCCAAAACAACTTTATCGCCGGCGCGAGTAGGCAGGATTTCTGCCTTAAAGGGAGTGTGTGCATCTGGCTCGTGGTCTGGGATAGATTGAAGTTGTTTATGTACTGTATATATCTCTGAAGCATACAAGCAAGATATTTTCAAGATATTTAATAGATAGCTCAATATGGAAGTTTTCACATTGCAAATACACAAATGGGGATTTGAGTTTCCGTAATATATGAAGACATACCAATAGTGTATATAGTTGAATGGGAGCGGGAGCGGGAGGCAGTTGATAGCGAGGATCAAAAGAGGAAGTACAGTTACTAAGATGGATTATGTTGAGTTACCAATTAACCATGCCCAGCGCACTCACTCCCTCCCATTAGTGAGTGCGCCACACTGTAAAGGAATTCACACCGTAACAGAATTGATATCTTTTGTATGGATTCCTCTTAAACAACCCTTACTATATTATATAATGAGATCTTGACACGTTCACGAGTTATCTAGAGAGGAATAGTTCTGCGTTAGCAGATCTCTCGAATGGCAAGTATATTTTAAACCGGAGGGCCAAGATGACCCTAGTCACCATTTGGTCACTCTCCTGAACGCAAAATTGTCGCCCGCCTGACAGGGACTACAACTTCTGGGTCTGCTACGTGGACTTTCCATCCCTTGGCGATGGGGATGAACGGACTTATAGGATTGGCAGCCTTGGAGATGACTGCCGA